CAAGAATCTTTCTCGAGGCGAGAATATTAGGCATACTGTTCATTGTTGATTATAAACGTCTTTTTACATTTAATTTATGAGGTTTACGTTTATAGGTGAATTTGACAGCGACAATGTTTCAAAATTAGGAAGGGAAGCAGTGATTATTTGATTATATAGACGCTTCGCCCCTGAGTTAGGTAATTTAAAGGCCGGGACCTTCGAGTTCGATGTTCATTTTCGAAAGGACCGATAAAGTGCTAAATGTACTCAAAAGTTTTTGATTTTCGTTTATAATATATTTATACTAAGTTTTTGGTCAATTAGATTTTGGTTCGTTTGACAATTTGGAGTTAGGGAAAAAACAGCCCGTACACTGTATACATACCCACTTACACACACGCGTGTGTGTATATGTGTGTGTGTGTGTTTGTGTGTGTGTGTGTTTGTGTGTGTGTGTGTGTGTGTGTGTGTGTGTGTGTGTGTGTATGTGTGTGCGTCCTCCTACACCTAAATTTCCTATTGACTTTAAAGCCAAAGTAGTTTCCCAGAAGGAATTACGGCAAAATCTGTTGACATGGGAGTGTCTTCTTATCTCAACAGATCGCCACCACTGATAACTTTGTTCTGTCTCTCATTTCTAATATCTTCGACTTACTTATCAGCCTCTCATATCACTCCCTCCTTCCCAGGAAACGGATAATGTTTCTGAGTGTTACAGTGTTTGCTGGGGTAATAACCAACTCAACTCTGTTAACACCCTTTGTTTTTGTTGGAGTAAAGAGATACACATCGACACAATCATAACGTCATTTAGTGCTAGGAAAAGGGTAAGACACACAGAAATATCATAGTGGAAAAGTAAAGAAATAGGACCTACCATGCCACCAGAGGCACCCTCCTACCACCTGCGACATGACGACCCGAATATCGGCAAACAGAATTATGCGCCAGTCAGTTACACCCCCCCCCCCCCACAAATCTCGCACTCGCTGAAAAAAAAACACCTAAAAATGTCAAATTGAAACCTCTAAATGAACGAGAAAAAGCATACAAAACGACATTTTAAAAAAAATTACCCCGAAACAAACACAGAAAAGATAAAAGCAAAAAGCAAAACAAAACAACCAAACATGCAAACGAATTTTAAAAAGCTAAAGTTAAAAAAAACAACTGACGCAGCGAGAAACAAGCGAAAAAAACAACAATAAAAGAAATATGAAAAAAAAGAACCAATTTAAACCTTCGGATTTCTTGCACCTTGGTGTTTAAACCCGAGTTTTGTGTTTGTGTAAACTTTGTGGGACAAGTATTGCTCTGTGACAACCCCCACCCCTCACCCCTCCCCCCAAAAAAAAATCAAATAAATAATTGAATAAATAAAAATTCAATAATGAGCTAAACAAAATAAAAATTCTTTCTTCGCAGACCAGTTGCCAAGTTGATTTCTTTTTTTTTTTTTTTGGTCTTAGAGCCCCTCATTTTCTGGAAATACCACTCCCTAAGTACACTATACACTAAAAGAATGAGAAGAATGTTTAATTTTCGCGGTCGACCAAGTCCACAAGAGATCTCTTCGACCAGGTCAAGTCCTGGTTTTGTTTTTCTTGTTTTAATACCATACCCCTGAGTGCAACGCTCACGCTTTTTCCTTAAACAAAACTTTCGATCAGATATTGAACTTTGTGAATCCACAGATCAACATCGATAAGTCTTGGGTCCAACCAACATTCCTCCCCAGCTAACAAACGCCGGCATGTGAGCGACATTTATAAGACAAGGTGCGCTGTTCTTTGCAAGCCTGCTCTCGTCCCTCTTACGCTGAATTAATATCTCTTAAAAGTCAAGATCACGCTGCATTAAAGCTCTCAACAGCCTGAAAGTCTGTCTACCTTCTGGGCTATCAGTGAGCGGTGGAGACTTATTGCGAGCGCGTAAACTTCAAATTAATGTAGGAAATCTCCCAGCTTTCTCTCGGCTCAGATACAAAAGTTCAGGGCTCATGATCCGCTCTGTTATCTCAAGATTTCATTAAAATTCACAAGAAGCTATGGCGTCCACGCTCTCAATATTTCTGAGTCAACTGTCGGGTCAAGTTCAAAATGTGATTGTACCCGCCGCTTGACGTCGGACTAGTAATTTTCTTTTTTGTTATGAGATATCAGTTTGTACAGTATACTTTTTCGACTGTCGGGGTTATGTTCATAAACAAAATATCAAAGTTTAATAACTCTAAGTCAATCGCGTAGGAGTTTTAAAGAAAAACGAAACGAATACATTATATTATGTTATAGAAATACTTCTTTTACTTTCACTTTCCCTGAAAAACGAAACCCCGGAAAATATATTATGTAGGAAGCAATCTTTTATATTATATTCCGGACAGAAACGTGATGATAATATGATACCTAACTGTTTGTTAATATATATATGATGAAGGGAACATTGTGGGGAGGGGTGGAGAGGGGGTGGGGGGGTGTTCCGTTAGTGGTATATTATGTTCTCAACTTACAGGCTAACGACTCGGGTTAAAAACGGGGGCGAGGGAGAGATAACAGGAGCCTGTTGGCATAAATAAGCTAAAACATTTCTTCTCATTGGGACAGTTATGTTTATTAGGTGTTTAAAGACGAAATGTTTCATTTTCATAACCGCACTATGTGTTTGATTTAAAGTGATAATGTCGAACATTAAGTAGTAGTAGTAGTAGTAGTAGTAGTAGTAGTAGTAGTAGTAGTAGTAGTAGTAGTAGTAGTAGTAGTAGTAGTAGTAGTAGTAGTAGTAGTAGTAGTAGTAGTAATGATTATAATAATATAATGACAAAGAAATAGAAGCGATATAAAAGAGTATTACAGAGAGAAGGGGTTAAGACATGCGTGTGGTTTCCCCTACCCCCCCCCCCCCCACACACACACACACACCACTGCCTTTCTATTTTCACTTGTTGTGTAAAATTTTTCGTCGATTTTTTTGCCCCCCCCCCAAAAAAAAAAACCCGGTAAAAACGATAACCACAATAATAACAAAATCAACTGCAATAATAATAATAATAATAATAATAATAATAATAATAATAATAGTTAAGAATAATAGTAATAGTTATAGTAATAGTAATAACAATATTAATAATTAATAAAATAATAATTATAATAATCATAATAATAGTAATAGTAATAGTAGTAGTAATAATAATAATAATAATAATAATAATAATAATAATAATAATAATAATAATAAAACACAACATTCACACATATATACATATATACACAAAGTAAATTTCCGCTCACCCTAACCCCAACCTCCCCTCTCATCATAAACTCTAACCTAAGCCCCCCCCCCCCCCCCACTTCCCCACACCACGCCTTAATCAAGCCTCTAACGCTATTACTACTTACTACTTACCCTCCTCTAATTACAGTTCTTTTTCTTTCTTTGGGTAAAGAGAAGCACATCGACACAATAATGGTCATAATATAGAGATTGAAAAAAGTAAAAACAGACAGAAACAGCAGAGAGAAAGTAAAGAAGTAGGACCTACCAGAGGCGCCCTCTAACCAACCGCTTAAAACGTAGCCCCCACCCCACCCCCACCCCCTCACCCTAACCATCACCCCCACAACAACCCGAATATGCCAGCAATTATAATCAGCTTAGCACTCAGGTGGTCAACAGGGCAGGCAGATAGCGGTGGATGTGAGGGGAAGACGTTCATTGACTGGCCTCTATGGAGTTACTCTATCGCCAGGCAGATAGTGGGGCCGGCCGGCTGGACAAAGGGGCTGGTCACTCATTATGGACTCAGGTGCACAGATAACCATTTCTGAGAGGTGTTTTTGACCAGTGGTCACTCTCGCGTGGCAGAGACCCCTCTAATGTAAACTGTCTAGGTAACTTATCTACTCTCAAAGACGTGTAGCTTCAGAATTTGTAGAGCGGAGATTAATAACTCGTTAGCTAGGACGATATCTCGGGCTTATGACACGAGCAGGTCTAGGGCTACCGGGGTCCGGCTTTTGTGTCCGGACATGTCCGAGCCTGACGCTTGGCCAGTGGTCAGTGGGACAGCCATCACTGTTGACCACACCCTTCTCCATCTCAATAAATACAACAACAACAACGATAACAGCAAAAAACAACAAAAACAGCAGCAAAGCCTTTCTTTCTTTGAGTAAATAGAAGCACACCGCTTTGGTGCTGGGAAAAAAAGTAAGAGACAAACAGACAGAAACAACAGAGGGAAAGTAAAGAAATAGGACCTACCAGTGGCGCCCTCCAACCACCGGCGACAACAAAAACAAAGCAAAAAAAACAACAACGCGGACGAAGGAAGTATACAGGGCATTTTCCTTAAAACGAGAGGCTCTTATTATGTCCCGCAGTGACCAGTCATTACTGGCAAAAATCAGGACCGGTCATTTCTCTGGGCTTCGGGCCTACAAAAATAGAGAATAGACAAAACATAGGACCCAATATGTCCATTGTACAGCGAGGAGCCCCAAGATTTGGAGCACTGGCTGCAGAGATGCCCCTCCACGGAGGCCCGGCGGTGGCATCTCTTCGGGGGGGGGGGATTCAGGGAGGTTGGACTGCCTCACCCGCTACCCAAGGGAGGCGGTGGCCCTGGCGAAGAGTACACTCTTCGGGGCTCCGAACATTTCGGACGGATAGGCTACCACACACACACACACAACAACAACAGTAACGATTACAGCAACAAAAACAAAAAATGACAATAATGGCAGAAATGGCAGAAACAGTAACGGCAACAATACCCACAACAATAGCAACAACAGTAGTGTAGCAGAAGCAGCATCAGCAGTAGCAGCAGCATCTGCAGTAGCAGCAACAGCAACAGATGCAGTAGTTGCAGCAAGACCAACAACCAAGACGACAATACGTGGCAGAAAGCAAAGATCACAACTAACCAGTCAGGACACGAACAAAAACGACACATAATATAATCTCTTAATTCACACAGAATGTTGTGTTTATAACAGCTGAAGAAACTTTGAACTTACCGACGACTTTTTGCAGTCCGACTCTGGCGTCGTATTTTTGAAAGTGGAAAAAGTGGACGAATTGTTGGCCTCGGACAAATCCATGGGGCCCGAGTCGTCCTCCACCACAAAACTTAAATCCCTCTTGATTTTCCTCTTCAGTTTGTCAATTTCGTTGTCGTATTTGTCCCCCCGGGTGGGGCTAGAGGCCGGGGTCGACTCGGCAGTCACTGCCCGCTGTTTGTAAATATTCTCCTCCTCGATCTTAGCGCTGTTGTGGTGTTTCCTCTCACGGTCGATGCGTCGGATGATGCAGATGGTGATAAGGACGGCGATAGCTAGAACGGCCGTGATGCACACCAGAGCGATGACGATAGCGATGTTGGTGTTGTCGTCGTCGTCGTCGTCGTCATGGAAACCGGTGGTGCCGTTAGCCAGAGTGACCACGATGTTGACCTCTCGCTGAGACTCCAGGTAGGACATCCCGCCGTCCCGGGCGTTGATGACGAGTTGGTAGGCGCCCGAGTCATAGACGCTCATCCTCTTAGCGATCACCAGCTCTCCGTACTTGGAGTTGATGAAAAACAAGCCGTTCTCGTTGCCTTTCAGGATGGAGTATTTGATGGAGCCGTTTTCTACCGCGTCCGGATCGTCCGCCTCTATCTTGAGCACAACACTCCCAGCGGGGAGGCTGTACAGGATTGTGAAAGTGTTGTTGACCTCATTCGGATAACTGATGTTGGGTTTGTTGTCGTTGCTGTCTGTGACGATGACCGACACCTGGGCGATGTCCTTGAACTCGGGCTGACTCTCGTCAAAAACCACCACCTCGAATAGGTACACGTCCTGCTGCTCTCTGTCCAGACTGGTCAGCGTGTAGATCGTGCCGGACATCCGGTCGATGTCGAAGAGTCCGGCGTAGCTGAAGTTCCCGGCGAAGTCGTAGCGGAGGTGGTTGTCCACGTCTGTGTCCGGGTCTCTCGTGAACACCGTGTCCACCACCGTGTGCTTAGCGCGGTTCTCCGCCACGTACATCTCAATGTGAGGCTTGAGGAACACGGGAGGGTTGTCGTTCTCGTCCCTCACGCTCACCGTCACCGTCACCGACGACGATATCGGTTTAATGCCCATGTCGGTGGCCACCACCACAAGCTCATACGTCGATAGGTCTTCTCTGTCCAGGATGTGCATCGCTTTGATCACTCCGGATATCTGGTTCACCTGGAACCGGTTCCCGTGGTTCTGAGCGAGGCTGTAGGAGACGTTTCCATTCAGCCCTTCATCCGGATCGACGGCCTGTACCTGGATCACATACTCCCCGATGTAGTTGTTCTCGCCGATGCTCGCCCTGTAGGAAGAGCGCGTGAACACTGGGGCGTTGTCGTTGGCGTCCAAGACGTTGATTGTGAAGGCGGACGAGTTTGTCCTGGGCGGGTCCCCACCGTCACTACACGTGACGTTGATCAGCTCCGAGTGAGACTTCTCGTAGTCCAGGCTCCGCCTCAGCCTGACCGTGAAGATGGAGCTGGAGTCGGGGAACTTCTGTAGTGTGAAGTGGTCGTTGGAGATGGCGCAAGTGATGGCCGTGTTCTGACTACTGTCGCGGTCGGAGAGCGAGATGTGGGCGATGTAGGTGTCCACGCCGATGGACTCAAGCACGGAGGACGAGGGCCACGTGATGTCGATCTGTGGCGCGTTGTCGTTCACGTCCTGCACGTCAATCACAACCGTCGTCTGAGAGGTCCGGGCCGGCGAGCCCTGGTCCGTCACTATGACGGAAAACCGGAACGATTTGTCTTTCTCGTAGTCCAGGGCTTTGACCAGACGTAGCTGACCGCTAGACTCGTTGATGGACAAGTACTCCTTGACCTTTGCCGAAGTGAGGGAGCTCAGGGAGAAGGACATCCGACCGTTTTCCTGCTCGTCCGGGTCGGTAGCGAGGAGGGTGAGTACAACAGATCCTACAGGCTCGTCCTCCGGGACAGTCGTGTTGAAGAGGTTGCTGGAGAACTTGGGCCGGTTGTCGTTCACGTCCATGACGCGGATAGTGACGTCAATGGACCCTGTGAGACGCGGGAACCCGCCGTCCTCGGCCACCACCTTCACCTGGTAGGATGAGACCGTCTCTCGGTCGAGTTTCTTCTTCAGAACGATGCCCAGACCGTCGGGGTTCTCGCTCGTCTCGAGGTCAAACACATCCCCTCCACCAATCAGCGTGTAGGACTGCACCGTGTTGTCTGCCCCTGAATCCTTGTCTACGGCTGGGCTGAGCGGCAGGACTTCTCCAACTTCTGAAGCCTCAGACACGTCCAGCGTCGTCTCGCCGAGGAGGAAATCTGGAGGGTTGTCGTTCACATCCTCTATCACGACTTTCACCTTGATAATTTTCAACAAGTTAAACGTCCCGTCCGAGTTGACCCTGTAGACACTGACGTCAAACTGCAGTTCACACGTGACGTCATCCGAGGCCCCACCACCGGAGCCCTCGCACTCCGCCTCGCGGTCCAGCTTCTGGGCCGTCCTCAATGTAGATGTTCTCTGGTCGATCTCAAACTTGGAGCTGGTGCTGGGGATGCTGTACTGAAGGTTCTGGAACTCTGTCTGGTTGTACTGGTTGTAGATCAAACTGTCCCGCGCCACGTTCCCGATGTACGTGCCCGCGTCCTGCTCCTCCAGGACTTTGTAGTTGAGCGCCGTCTGCTGGCCGCTACAGCTCACGACGAGGAGGAGGAGGGCGATACATAGCGAGAGCAGCAGCGCGAGAGAGGAATCTCTACAGAGCGGGGAGCGACCCATCGTGATAGAGGGCGCCCCGGTTAAGGCTCGAACTCCTCACGCCCACAGCTGGGCAATGGTGAGCGTGGGGGAACGGATGAACTCACGCGGAGGTTGTGTTGTGTGTGTCTGTGGTGGTACAGGGGGCTCGCCACCATGTGTGGGTTCGTCTGGTACACGCGGGTCTGGTCTACTTCTGGGGAAAACAAAAGTGTACTATGAAGCAACGAAAGAATGAAGGGATTATGAAGAAGTACACGTGTGAAGAGGAAAGATTTTCGCAACTTGCGACCATCCCAACAAACACCATAATTATAAGCAAAAGACCTAACCCTAACTTTAACCACCTTGACCCTATCCCAAACCCTGCCCATCTATTCTATACTCTGTTTCGTAGTGGTCCTTTGTTACGGAATACCTTCCAATGAATGTAATAGTCAATCGCGAATTCAACGAATAGCCTACTTAATATATGGAAAAGAAGAGAGAATGGAACAAGAGAAATAAGGACGATAGGTGTTTGATAGGGAAAAGGAAGCAAACCACACGAAAACGTCGGAGAACCATCTGCATATATTATAGATCTATATACATTCAACTTGTGCTACTGTTGTGTAAAAATATAAGAAAGTCGTTTTGAAAACTTACAAATCTAACTCCTCAACTCTCTTTTCATCCAACAACGAAGGTATAACTTTCTATTTTCCTCTAGAAATGTTCACGCTCACAGATTCAGAAATTGCTCACACCACGCATTCACACCAAATCTTGCACGCTGCCACCTACAC